GGACCCAAGCACATACTCTGAAAGACCTAAGCCTCTGCTTAGTTCTTGTTAAATCCAATGTAGATAAATGTAGATAGACATCACACCACAGGTGGGACCTGTACAGAAATCTTTCCAGTTGCATTGAGTGGTTTTGTCTTTCTATCTCTGAGAACAAGAAGAAGACACCCCATCAAAATTAATTCTTCAATGTTTTCACCACATCCCCACTAAGCAATGTTAGACATGATTCTCATGAGAAATACTCGGCTATGTGCCTCGCCTAGGACTTGGTAGTGATATCATTACCCTCCTATTAGAAGAGAATAACACCTCCCCCTTCTTTTCTTTTTTGCAATGCAGAGTCCCATGTGCAAATTATTTGAGACCAAATGCTTCTGAACTTGTTTTCCCCCTCACTTTGCTACCACCACTGGGCTTCACAGAAAGAAATGTTGGTAAAACCACATCGGGTCTTCCCTTTGTGGAAGGAAGAAAGACAGACGTTAGCCATGGCCTCAGAGGAGACTGGCTTTGGGTTGGTTTCATAACTGTGTTATCAGGATCCAAGCTACCAGAGGCAGAGGGTGAATGAGACTGCTGGAAATTAATCTGTAGAGTTTATCTGGCAGGGACTTCTCTCAATTTCAGAAAGAATATTTTTAAAAATTACAATAAGAACAGAACATTGTAGATCATATTGATCTTAAAATGGAAACCTACCAGAAAGGAAAATGGGGTTATTTCACACTTCTATTCACCACCCAAAGGTAGAAAAGAAAGAAAATTTAAAAGAGCTGTGGTTTTCTGGTTAAAAGAGCCTGTTTTACTTTCCTGTATATGAGAGGTAAAGGGGCTTTCTGAATTACTCAGTTAAACCAGTCTCTAACTGAGTGAGAAGGCAAAGTACTGAAAAAAAGATGTCCAAACCATCAAGCCTACAGTTCTAAAAAAGAAGTGTGGTGCAACAGAACATGTAGTTAATATATCTGTGACCTAAGCACTGCCACTGATCAAAATCTGCTGATTACACCTCTGGTGCGATAAAATTCAGTGAGCAGAAGCAGAAGGTACCAGAGCCCTATCTACAGTACATTTCATGGTGGTCCTCGTGTCACATAGGACTGCAGACCACAGCCCGCTCTCCAGCAACAGCTCAGTTCTCCAGTAAAAACGATGTCCAAAAATGAAGAGAAGGAAAGCAAAAGCAGAAAGCAGCTAGGACAAGTTAACTTTAGAGTGCTGTCATCCATTGTTCCAATGAAGTCCCCTTCCTGAATGAACCAGAAAATAATCTGCACAGTGAGTGAGTAGAATGGATTTATGAACAGACACAGTGGTTCCCCACCACTCCTCATACCTGTACTGCGATGGTGGGCGAGTGCCAAACAAGGCACCTCTGCTGGGACAGGTCCTGCTGGGAGAAAAATCAAACCAAGCTCTCAAACGATGCATTCTATAAATGTTTATCCTGTTAGAGGACAGCCACAAGGACTAGTGGGCAGTGCCCTGGAGAGACAAGGTTGCCTTTCCAGCTTTGGTGTGCTAGGTAAATTTGCATAAGTTCATTTGGAAAGTATTTTGCAATCTACAGAGCAAGAATGCTAAACAGTGGGTAAGCTTTACTGTAAGGACCTTCTCCCCTTGGTTCTCCTGTTCCTTTAAAAGCTCTGCTATTCTTCTCCCCCTCTGCTTGAAAAGCCACACACTGAACCCTACAGCTCAATTCCCCTGTACTCAAGTAGCAGGAGACTACAGCAAATGAAGGCAGCAGCCAGGGTTGGTGTCCCAGAAAACGGCAAGAATATTTAGCCACTAGATGGCAAAAATCACCAGAAATTGCTGTAGAGTGGCCGTTGCACAGGCTCTATCAAAGCCGATCTTCAAATGTCCAAGGGGGAGTCATTTAACAAACATGCACAGTAAATTTGTGTCCCACCCTATTTTCAATGAGACATCTGCAGGAGACTTCACGTAGGAATGCCCAAAGGGAAGGCTGGTGCTCTCTCTTCAGCTGGAGTGCTTCAACAGTCTTCCAGAATTTACACAGCAATGTCAGGGTGAGCAATTAAAAAGAGGTAAATAGCAAATGTTCAGTTTTTCTTGAATTATTTTAAACCCAGGGTTTTTTAATTTGGCCACAGAACAAACAAATAAAAAGAACAATTACTAGTACAACGCTAAGCAGCATAATATACTGAGAGGATAAAACACTCAAAGTGTCCACGAAAATGAGATATCCTCACTTTGGATGCTTCAGAATAAAGCCCACATCAATGCTATTAGAAAGTCAAACCCAACCGAAGAAATAGGTAATAGGTACTGTACACACAAACCAGCACAAACAAAATTAAGAAAGGAGTATATCTCCGGTACACGACTTGCTTCCATTAAACCCTCCAAAGCTCTGAAATTATATATGTCGCCGATAAAATCAGAACGTCTAGCAGCAGCAAGGAGCTAATCTATAGCACTGCTGCTGCAGCCAGCACATCCCTGCAGTCCAGAAGTCATAAAGGAATACCTGACGGATCCATGGGTCAAATTTGATTTATTTATTCTCTCCCACACGTAACTTGGCACAATGACATATTTGCTACTCCCTTAAGCCCCACAAGGATGAGGGATCTCATTCACTGATTTTAGAAAACTATTACAAAAATAAGGAAGGAAATGGCTTAAGCCTATTCCAATCTACTTATGGATTGTGGCCTTGCCCCAGTCAGCAGCTAGGGAACTAACTGGACTCTGTCACAGAAGGAGCAAAAGGCCAGAGGTTCCTGACAAGGCCATTAGAGACCATGCAGGGGGCAAATGAGCCTTTCTCCAGTCCATAGCCAGATGCGTCATTGTACCAGAAGACAGACTTGTCCTTACAGAGAGCCATTAAAGAGGAGAAAAGCTTTGTGTACAGCCTATGATCATGAACTACTCTGGTAGCTCAGATGCCTGGAAATCAAAAAAGCAGAAAATTGCTTTTATCTTTGATATGTACTGAGAAAGAGCTATTTTTCCATATCCATTACAGCAAATTTGCCAGTCTTTACATAACCTGAATCAGCAGTAGCAAAGGTAAAAATCTCTGGGAACAACAGATCAACAGAGTGTGCAAACAGTATCTGCAGTTTGCAGGGGTCCACTATCTTCTAAATTCCAGTATTTGCCTATTTCAGGCATTAAGGTGTTAGCACATTCCCCACCTCCCATTCGAGAATCCACACAAAAAAAGCAATTTTATTCCTTGTATATATTTGATTTTTCAAAATAATCCATTACAACTTTTAGGTGAGAAAAAGCTATCTTTGCTGCTGATATTCAACTTGGCTTTTAATGTCAAGCTTTTAATTAACTTAGCTGGCAAGAGCACTGTTTGTTTCCTTTGTGTTGTAAAAATTTAGTTTCCATCAAAATTTGACACCAGACTAATTTTTTTCAAAATGAACCTTCAAAATGTTTAAATATTATTAGAAGAAAACTGAAAAATACTAAATCTAGCATGTTTTCCCTGACTTATCTCAGGAAATTCACCAGGATATATCTAGCTGTAAGAATCAAACAGTTAGCTCAATATTCAACTTCTCTGGCTGCAAGTCTTTTCCTTATATTTCTATAATTTAGATTTGGAAGTGGATAGCAAGGCTGCTATCACTGAGGACAGGCCCAGCCTTTCCCCTTGCCTGTGCATTTTTCTTATGCCTGGCAAGGCAGCCTTGCTACTGGGAGAGCAAGCTTTGATTAGGAAACAGATGTCCAGCTTAAATTAACACAGGGCAATTAGGATCCTTCATGTGTCTCTTAAGACTCCTGAAATGGCCCAAGAGATACAGGATTTCCCTACCCATCTGCAGCAGCACATGGCTGGGAAGTGATATGCATCCTCATCTGTGCTCTTCTGGTAGCCAGGCTTCAGCAAGGGAGATTTTAGGGTCTTCATTGCTTTTCCCTTGGGCTCCCAGCTGGGGTAGACCAGGGCTCCAGGGAGACTCCAGAACTGTTTCTTCCAAGGAACACCACACTCTGGGTCTTGAAGAGATGTTTTTTAAATCTGAAAAAGCTCCAAATCACACCACAGTCCTGGCTTCTGCATACACAAATACCCTGCCAGTCTGCAAACTGGGAGCTAGAGAAAATTATTCAGTACAAAATGCCTCTAACAGACTATGCTCTGTCCTCTCCCATCACCCCTGTAACAGTACCTCTGCTGCTTTGTTAAGATGGATTCTGGCTTGCCAAAAAGGCAGGGCATCAGGCTATTTATCATTACACTTTCATGCCCTTTTGCAGCTCTACGTTGTAGGAACACTTAGTTGTGCAAATGCATTTGGACAAGCAGCGTAACATCTCTTTTTGCTCATCTCCACACTGTACTTCGCAGCCCAGCACCGAGACCTGATTTCACAGCACGGTTTATTCATGCTGTGCTTCAGGGATGTGGAAAACCCCGGGGAGCATCAGGGTTTCGAAGGCTCGGTAGACTGCTCGGTGCGTGTCTTTGCAAGAGAGCGAGCGGTACCACACGGGGGTGCTCGGAAAGCATGGTACGGAGGGTGCTGCGCAGCAGAGCTGCTCTAGCTTCAAGGGTGCCTGAGAAGGAAAAATTTGCTGGTGCTGCATTTAACATAGAGGGTGGAGCTGCTTTCCCTCTACCCTTCAGACTAGTGCTCCAAAACCCAGTTCCTCTCAACTGTCGTTATTTTACTCAGTTGACTTCTATCCCCTGGCAAGGTACAAGATCAGAGAAATGTCTGTTAACGTTCAACGTCACAAATACAGTGGGATTAAAAAAGAGGGTGCTCATAAGGAGTAGTGCAATTCCTTGCCTCATGGAGCATTTTATTGCATTTCCTGATGGTGAGAGATTGATGCTGTTGTACTTGTTAACATGGTCAACTGTTATTACAAGACTATTAGATTATCTCTACGTGGATCTTGGAGATTGGGAGGGAAAGTTTTTTTCTCTAGATTCACAACCCATCTTTAGAAGCTTATACTAATGAAGTGCACTTGTTTCTGCCTCACAGCACACTGAAGGCAGCTTTTGAGAGGCTCAAGCAACGTAAGTATTTGTATCTTCCTTTCTAACCTGGGTAAGACTGGCACACAATATGTTCATTGCCTCTGGGGACCCCCCCTCTATTTCCAACTTTTCTACCCCAGTCTGTAGTGTGGAGGGTGGAGGGAAGGGACACTCATTGGGAGTCCTCCATGGCTGGGAAATCAATCCACCCTCTGGTGGCAAAGAAAAGGGCTTGTTCCTCAAGTTAGTTTTATCAGGATAAAGTGACAGAATATCAGCTCTGTTCCCTCTTCTGCAAACCACTGACGCCGGAAGAGCATGCTTTCCAGATGTGCCCAAGGCTGGACGCAAACCTTTCACACACAGAAAATGCAACACTGTCATAGCCAAAAGGACACCGTACCTGGCTACTGACACCTGCTGTTTAGATAAAACCACCCATTTGAGAAGCAGCTGGTGAATTAAAGTATTTTTAGATCCTGGGTGGGGGAGGTCAACATTTCTGAAAAACATGGAGTTCCATTTCAGAGGCACCAAAGCCAACAAATGCAGGGGAGTTACCAGCCACTTCAAACAGCATCAGGTGCTCTGAAATTCAATCCATCCTTGCTGACCCTTGGAAATTCTCAGCTTGCAACCTTGACTAATGACATTTGTGCAAGGCTGGACGCAACTGGAAGCAGCTCCCAAGAGCAATGACAGTCCAGCAGCGTAGCAGAGGGAAAGCAGATGCAGGCGGGGAATCGTTCCCTCCCTCTGCACCACAACATCTGACCTCCAGACCTGGAGGGAAGAGGGGCGGCTGGGGCAAATGGGGCTATGAAGAAATGCAGCCTGCTCTGCACTTGCCAAGGCTGCGCTGAGTGGGTGCTCCAGTTCTGCAGTGAGGAGTCTTTCCCACACACTTTGCAGGCACTGAGAGGACCTGCAGTGAGCACTATTCAGGTTGTGAGCCCTCAGCAGTGTCAGTGCATGCAGAAACATAGGAAGGCCTTTTTTTAAGGCTGCCCTGTCCATGAGAAGTCATACGGCAGCCACACCCCAGAAACACCTCCTGAAAAATGTGACTTTAAATATAAAGACCTTTCTGCTGACTGTGTATGAATTCTGATCTGCTTTAGAAATTGAAAGTGTTGGAAACTCTCATATCCAGCTGGCTGTAATGCTGAAGGATGAACTGAAAGGAATAGAGGAGTTCCGAGAAAGACAGAAGGAGCAAAGAAAAAAGGTGAGGAACTAAAGAAATGTTGAAACAGATTGGGTCGATGGTCCATGCTGATGACCTGTCTCCAGCCATAGCCTGTGAATACTGCAAAAGGTGATAAAAACAAGCCCAGTGTGCCCTGTTCTCTCCATACACTAGACTGTGGAAGAAAATCTCATTCTGATCCCAGCTGGAAAGAAAGTGCTCTGAAGTCAGGAGACATAGGCTTTGGTCACTTTTACTCTCTGGTGTAATTGCAGATACTATTCCTGTAAGAACCTAATCCTTCCTTTTCTCTTTTTTATTCCCTTCCTAACTGGGTTTCTTTGATATGATCCTGCCTGATCTCCAACATGCACTAAAATAAAGGGGTAACACAAACATTTAAAAACATAAAAGCGACTGAATGTCATGCTGAATGCAACACCAATATATGCTGAATTACAAATACATGAAATAAATACTATTCAGTTGATGCTGAATAATAAAAATTGAGTATATTTAAGGCCATTTCATCCTCTATGATCTTTCCAAGCTCGAAGTCCCTTGAAAAAGTAGCTCTCAATAGAGACAACAGTGGTCATTCTTACACCTCTTCTGGTTCCACGGGGTTGAAGACAGATGGGATATCCCTTAACACTGAAAGCTCTGATTGATGGAGGAGTAAAATAAAATACCCAGTTCTTTGTAAATTTTAAACAAATGAAAATGCATATGACCAGTATCCAATGCCACAAATGCCTTGTGTCTACAACCCTGACACACAGGAACTTTGAAGAGCAGAGAACTGAATATAAGAGCGGGCAAAGCCAGTGCTGCTTCTGAGATCTGAGGTCCCCAGCAATCTGATGAAGCAAATAAGGCATACAAAGACAGACAGCGTGCACATAGTTCATCAGCATTTGTATCTGTCCCCCCCCCACACTTTGCCACTAGGATTTACAAAGAGAGGCTCTCTCCTGTTGAAAACCACAAGCCTGTAACTCAACTGGAAACAGTTAAGGGGCCTGGAAAAAAGGGAAAACCTACTTCAGAGTCTTAGGCAAGCTTTTTTTCTCCATCCAGCATGCAGCTGTGAGGAAGTCAACATTAGGCGTGCTAGATGGTGTCGGCATTTTTGGTAACTTCCCAAAATGCTGTGATTTGTGTTTCACTCTAGCTGCCCTCAGGACTGTGCCATTTAGCCCAATGTCAAGCGAGCCTCTGGGTAGGCCCACAGAGAGCTTTGCTCGAGCAGGGTATAAAGATTAAAGGACCAAAAGCGCCACTGAAGAAACCCATACCCTGCCAAGTAAGAGCGTATCTCACTGTCACATAGACTGAGTGTATCACAACTAAAGCCATAAAAGAGAATTCAGCAGCATCTTTCCAACACTGACTAGCTGATTATATGGAAATCAGATTGCAGAGAGCATAAATTTGCCAGAAGCAACAGCATATAAATTACACAGGAATGGTTTGTTTTTAAAATGGACAACTACCCTTGCTCACATGGGTGAGAGAGTGGTTTGGCCTGCAAAGGTGTGGGATCAAGCTCTTGACCCAGTAAGGAACTCTGCTGGCAGAGCTGATGGGCACTATGACTGGTGTTGTTATGCTGTTTAATCTCCTTAAGCAAAAAAGCCTAGAGCAAGAAATGCTTACGTGTGTGCGCTTCTTACAGTATGAGTCTGCGATGGAGCACATGCAAAAGAGCAAGCTGTCCCATTATAAGAAAACAATGGAGGTAAGCTAAGAGATTTTGTGCAGGTTTTTTGCTGCAAACTGGCTCCAGTTTGGGACAGGTTGAAATCTGTATTACATGTACCTATATTTATAGAAAAGCCAAGAATGTGGGAGTGTGAAAGAGTGCAAAAGTGTGTGTGTGTGAGATTCATCCTATGAAGAAGCAGCTGATCTTCCCTGCCACATCCATGGAGAAGTCTCCAAAACAAATACTTAGAAAGTTAATGTGGAATGAACAATGTCCCAGGTCAAACAGGATTTCATTTTCTCTAGGCAGAGACACTTCCAGGAGCAAATGTAATTTTTCAGTCTGTGTAAATACAATCTTAAAAATGGTGAGGGATCTTGTAAATGGGAGGAAACCTCTCCAGCTGGAAAGCTTGCAGGTAAAGCAACTGCAGGCAGCTGGTTTGGTTTCCAACAGGCAATTGCATTTGCAGAAAAGTAGTTGCAGACCTGTCAGTGCTACTGCCAGAATTGTACCAACAGTTTTTATTTAAATGTGTTTGTTCTAAGTGAATCTCTAAGACAGGTGCAAATAAAGATTTTTTTGCTTCTGAGGACTACTCTGAGACTGTTACCTATGGGGTGCTGGCTCTGTCTCACAGCCTGGAGCAATGGGCAAGGCAACACACTGACTTTGGCCACCTAATGCTCGAAGTCACACTGTAGACATGACAACCCACCCCCACTGGCACCCTGGGAGTGTGGGCTCCTCATTTTGCCTCTACACTGTAGGTCAGAGAGACACCTCATGGATGGTGCTAGTGCTTGCTGCCTGTGTATTCATGACCATCCCTTCAGGGAGCTGGCGGCAATTGTACCAAGTAAATAATTTTAGAGCTGCAAGAAGAGGACACGATTTATGCTGCAAGCCCCTACCCCAATTTTTCAGTTCTATTTTTCTATCCCCTTAGGGTGTCATTGGGAACTTTTTCTGTTGCCCAAACTTGGGCACTGATTTTCTCCCCCAGACTGCAAAAGAGGCAACGCCTCGAATATCAAGCTGGAGACAACTCAGCCTTGTTCCCTAACTCCAACTGTCCCTTTGATTTCATTTCAATACAGTCAAAGAAGACCTACGAACAGAAGTGCAGGGAGGCGGATGAGGCCGAGCAGTTCTTCGAACGGACAAGTGCTTCAGGCAACCAAAAGCAGACAGAAAAGGTACCTTAGATGACAGTGCTATTTAAAGAGGTACAAGAGAATACAATTGAACCACCCATTCTGTAAGATGCCAGGGGCTGATTTGCCATCTCATTAGCCCCTTAGAATCAAAATTGAAACAAAGCACCTTCCCAAGGAGGTTTTCCTTCACTAACTCCTTCAGTAACCCTGATCTTGTTTTGCCATAGGCCAAGGGTTTGTAAAAAGGCAGGGAAGGGACTAAGTTATCTAATTAATTTATCCCAGACTATGATCTATTTTCTCTCCGAAACCTGAAGGGAGACTGAATAAGGTGCTTCTCCAAAATTATTAAAAAAAAAAAAAGAAACAAGTCAGAAGTGTGTCATGCAGTCAGTTTTGCCTTTTGGCCGCTTACATTTAGTAGACATAGTATCTTACATTAAAATGCATATTTTTCCTCAACATTTTTCTCCTTATGGTTACTTTAATTTCAACTAAATTTTCAAACTCAAAAATAAATCATTGGAAATTAAGGCACTGCAGTCCTTCATTGCATCGTCTTGATACTTGTGGCTGACAATTCACTAACTTTTAATGGGAACATTTTACAGCGGAACAGATGGAGAAAAAATAAATGAACTCCCTTTGGCTCGATAAAAATCAGTGCAGTGTAAGCAAAAAGGATCAAAAATCATCTCGAGGAGCGGGGGGATGGAGACTCTAAAAACAGCATCGGAACTTTGCATTTTATTTCCAGCATTTGCTGGAAATCTTTGATGAACAAAACCCTCCAGCTTAGCTGTAAAGAGGGGATGAAATCCTGGCCCTATTGAAATTACGCCAGTGCACTTAGCAACTTCAATGGCATCAAATCTGACCCAGCTCCTTTCATGCTGGAGGATCCCAGGGTGCTTCATTGCCATTACTTCCACACACATGCCAGCACACTTGAAATGCACAGAGGCATCTCACAAGAAACATGTCAGCTGTTTAATTCTGCACAGCACTCACAAATACTTTGGGCCAGGCAGCAAACAAAAATGAAGCTTATATTTCCAGCCTACTACACATTTTCCAACCAGCTGTGATGGGGAATATGGTCATAAGAACCCCTACCTGAGCCTTGTCACGAAGGGCAGAATGGAAGAATGTGTTATACTGATGTCTTGAGCGTGCATTAATGTACTGTCATCACCGTCTGTGCAGAAAGACCTGGGCATACAGAGCTGTCAGTAGTAGCTGTATTTTCATTTGTTAAAAGCTGCAGGATTTAAAAAAAAAAAGTTCTACCTAGATAATTTTGCTTTTAGGCTTCCAAGTTGTTATGGGAAATAATCTGGCATTTGCAAAGTATTTTAAAGGCTGTGTTCTTTTCATCTATGTATTACATGAGGAGCTTGGAAGACACAGAGTTTTAACTGCCATTTATTTCTGCTTATAAATATCTATTAGAAAAGCACATCAAACGCCTGAGGAAAAAAACGCAACTCAGCCAACAGATGCAAGCTTCAGGCTGGATCATGCTAGCACTGAGCTTCTAAAGCAGGGGTGTCTGAATGGAAAGATGTAAATTGCCAGATTTCCCTTGAAGTCAGGGGACCTATGGTTGCATCTGTGAAATACTGGTCCCTTCTCCATAGGACACATTCAATTGAATCATGCATAAAAGCAGGACAGTCAAGAAGCATTTTTAAGTTTGAGCCTTTCCCTAGAAGGGGAAGGGGAGGAGGCAGCAAATAAACTGTGCAGAAGCAAAGTAAGTTTGGGCAGAAATTAATTTGCAGTGTTTCTTCTCCTGTTTCAGAGTCAGAACAAAGCCAAGCAATGCAGAGATGCAGCCAACGAAGCAGGTGATGCTCTATTTGCAACTGAACTAAGGTTTTTCTCAGCAAAGATCTACCAGCAGACTGATTTTGGTAGAGCACCATCCAAATCTCCCAGGCTGGTTCTGATTGAAGTCAGGTCTCCCAAAGTCACCTACCCAAAATTAATGAAGAACCTTCTAAATAACAGCAAGCTGATAATCATCTCCATTTACTCTCTTTTGTGGAAATGCAAGTCTCCTGCTTTCATTAAAAATTTACAAAAGACCTCCTTTAATGACTTCACACAGGAAGGAAAGGCTCTTTCTGAAGCAAGTTTGAAAGCAGAAAAGAATGACACTCAGATTTCCCCCAGCCAAACCAAACCAGATAGAGAGTCCCCAGCTTCCCTGTACATGAGCATGGTAGCATTCTCCAGCCAGAAACCCAGTATATGTCCAGAGGGACAGGCCAGCAGACACCTGAGCTGCTTCATGAGTTCAGACTTGTCCCTCGCTGCTTATGTAAAAGTTTACACTAAATTAGATGTAACCTAGCTTACCTGGCTGGCTCAGCACAGAAAGAGCCTAAGGATGGTCAGTGCCCAAGCACGGTACAGACTCTTCATGTCTGATTTGCATTATCCCTACTGTAAAGTTTATAGATGATGTGCAAACCATGCAGAGAGAATCCTTACTCTAGTATAAAATTGCAGAGAAAAAAAAAATCCTTGTGGCCCACCTATTTCAAGCTCACACATTCTTGTGATATTCTAGCAAACCACTGGCCTAAAGTGTAAGAACCACAGCCAAGTCTTTATAGGAAAAGAAGGAGGAAGTCTGTATCATTTTTTTTTCCTAACTGTTGGGTTTCTATTATGTGTGTCTGTGTTTACAGAGAAGGTGTACAAACAGAATATTGAGAAGCTGGATAAGGTCAGGACAGAGTGGGAACAGGAACATATCAAAACCTGCGAGGTAAACATTGACTTTTGCAGCGATATATTTGCGCACTCTTTATTTTATCCTACTTGCAGATATCCGTCTAAGACCTGAGATATCGTCCCAAGGGTTTTGCTGTTTGCTTTATGTGGAGTCTCAGTAGATGTCTTTGCAAAAATACTGCAAAAACTAGAGTTGATTTAGACATAGCTGCTAGCTGTCTCACCTGCTTACACCCTCCTTTCTTGTTCAGCATATGTATGTAATCACTACATGAGTGCAAAGGTGTAAGAAGTGGAGCAACATGTGAACTGGTACAATCTATTGGCCAGCATTTGTAGCCAGTTTTCACCTACAGCTTACTGTAGGACTACACTAGTTTTAGGGATGATCTTCTATCACAGCCAAGATACAGTTGTTTCTCAAATAACTGCTCTGTGACAAAACATAAGTTCATAGAAAATGAACAGAAACGTAGACATGAAAATTAATTTTTAGTCTAAAAAATTAATTTCAAAATTGAAACAAGAATTCAATTAGTTAATTAAAAATGAAAAAATGAACAAACAAACAAAAGATTTCCTTTAGATTATGTTTTGTAAGAGGCTTCTAGAATGGCTTCTTCTAATACAGGAGAGGGTTCTGTGTGGGGGTTGTGGGTTTTTTTTTTCTTTTTAAATTTCACAAGTCCAACGGAAATTAAAAATTAAATTTGCTTCCTAAGCTAATACGTACTGTAGCATTCTGAGAGCAAAGAAATCCAAACCACTCAGAATCTTTATTTTGCATAGCACTTTATATTGACCTGCAAGAATATTTGCCTTCAGCTGTGGAGTAATCTTTCAGTTGAAAGGTGGTGGTAGAAAAGTCTTTATTTCCGTTATGCTGAGAATAGCAAGTTCTTGCGCTTGGCTAGCAAGTTTTGCACCACAATTTACAGGAACTGGTTGACATCCAAATAGCCACACATTTGGTCATATTAATCCTTCAAATGTATTTGCCCACCTGCTCAAGTATGATTTTGCTATGTTTACTTGTTGTAGGCTTTATTTTCACATACAATAAAGTGCCAGGTGGATAGCTTTTCAGTTCTCTGCTTCCTCTGGAATAGTCCCTATATGGGAGGACTGGAAAGTCCCACAGCTAGCACAGCAGACTTTCCATAGAAATTGTGCCAAGCCTTAGTTTTCCCCAAGATGCACATTTTCCTCTTTCTTCAAAAGCCAACAAACAAGGTAAGTGTTCCACAACCTGAAACACTTCATTTCTCTCACATGGCTAAATTTTGAATAGCCCCCAGAGCTTCTGACGTGCCTGCTGCTTAATTCAAACCACGTAAAGGAAGGACATTTTTAATGCCTTCTTCTAAAAGTGCCTGTAGACAGAAGAACTGATGGAATTTTTTGAGACATTTAGAACTAGTAACTAGTACAAAAGCAGCTTAAAATCACAAATTTCTGGCTGCATAGTGGAGCATCTGGAAGTGCCAAGGTTGCTTATGTTACTAGCTGAGCGCTGGACATCCACAGCCTGAAAATCCTGGCTAGCAAGTGGCAGCACTGGGATGACCTTCATCACGGGTGCTGTGCCATATTCCCTGGCACAAGAGCCCAGACTAACAGTCTGTCACACGAGCCAACAGAGGACAAGGTATGTGTCTAACATAGGGACCAGACGTAGTTGGCAAAGGGCTTGACAAGCGCAGAGTCACTACGCTTCCCTCTTTGATGAGCTGCATTTTCTGACAGGACACCATTTACCAGGAAAATTCCCAGTTGGCTCTCATGCTATTTCAGCAGCCCCTGAGGGGCTAGGCTTCAGCCATAAGCTTTTTGTTCAGGATGGATATCGAAATACTCATTTTCCACCCTTCAGATTCTCTATAAAAGCTTTTTCTCAGAAACTGGTCCCAATGCCTGCTGACTCCCTTGATGGACTCTGGGTTTTTTTTTATGGTAAGATATTAAATGGCAGGCGGCGTACCCAACTGAATGTTCTGCTGAATAATGCATACATTTGTGGTGTTCTGGACATCATTACTAGCAAAAGATAGAAACAGATGGCTAGAAGCATCTGAGCTTCTCACACCTCATAGAAAACCAAAAATTTATGTTCTACTTATAACAGCACAACTTAGTGATCAGGGTGGTTTGGTTTTTTAAAAAAGTTTTTAAAGAAAGAGTTTATCTGCCTCTTCCCTCAACTCAGTTCACACTTCTCTTTCTTCCTCCTTCATTCTTCCCAAGCTGTGCAACGACATGAGAAAATCAGACAGATGAAGGAAGGGAGTAAACTCTGAAGAAAAGTGCCTTCTCTTTACCATGAAAATAACCTTAGAAATGCAGGGAGGCAAGTCCAAAGTGCCTCAAGTAGCTTCAAAATAGAAAAGTGTGGAAAGACATCTTACAATGCAGAGATGGATATTTTTGGCTCAACCTCTAAAATAAATACAACCCTTTCATGCCATACAAGTTTTCAGTGTCATGGGCAAACAGGACCCTGACTCTGAAATCTTTGGCAGTAGAGGTAGCAGTCAAATCCAGATACTGATTCCTTTCTCTTGCTTCATTTTGGTCTGTAAAACATAATTTTGGTGCAATCAATTAAAACAAATTCTTGAGAATGAACAAGTAGATGCAGCTGAAAAGACATCCTTTACAAAGGATCCTTCAGCATGGTTTGCAGACACAGGAACTTGGCCCAGAGCATCCCCAGCCCTGTCGCTGCCTGCAATGCAAATAACTGACTTCCATGACACTACATCACATCTTCTCTTTGGCTTTAGGTCTTCCAGCTCCAGGAGTGCGACCGCATCACCATACTCCGCAACTCGCTGTGGGTTCACTGCAACCAGCTCTCCACGCAGTGTGTGAAGGATGATGAGGTACGGGCACCTGCCATGCAGCTTCACGTACAGAGGAGGGAGAGGAGGAGGAAGAGTGCTCTCGCAATACAGCACTAGTTTGTCCTTCTTGGCATGTGCTGTCTCCAGCTAACTGGCTGTTGTGCATGTTCAGTGAAGGGGGAGTATTCTCAGTCTAGCTTGTTCCCTCTAGATGTCAACCAGAGATGTGATGGGATGCAGACAGTCTGTGTCACACTTCATGGCACTTCCCTGTCTCCTCCCCTCTGTTTGCTGGGGAGTGCTTCCAGCTATCAGAACACGCAGTCGAGTATACTTGGGCTCAGGCACAGCTTTCAGAAGGGCATCCAGTCATGGTCTCAAAATGAGAAGACATAAAGAATACACTAGTTTGGCCTTTGAATGGATGTTGCCTGCTACTGATTTCTTTATTGCATGGTAAAGCCCTGGACTGCCTTCATCCTCCTCTCTTAAAAGGAAAACCAGAACACAAAGAACTGTGTTTACAAGAATATTTGTATGGGGGACAGGCCAAAGATCCATCCAGGTCAGACATGTTCCAAGTATAAAATGTCCCTTAAGGGGAAAAGTATTAGAAGAACATTAATTGTTAATTCAATGTGAAACGTTAAAAACTGAATTATTGGCTTCTGTTTTGTAGCTGTATGAAGAGGTTCGGGTAAGCTTGGAGAACTGCGTTGTAGAGTCAGACATAGACTACTTCATTAAGACTAAAATGACAGGAACACAACCTCCAGGTAACTATTCCTATTGGTCTTATCAGATGAGCCACTTTTTAGGCTGAGGCTGCAGTTGTGCAGTACATGTCCTTTGGAGCCAAAGCCAACAGGAGGAGTTTCTGCTTCAGCTATTCATTCCCAAATGCTGAGGCTCGGTTTCCCCTCACTGGGCTGCCACAGTTACTTGTGCAGCACTCTAAGTGGGATAGGTGAATGATCCAGGTTAAAAATAACCCTCCCAAGAAGAAAAAAAAAAGTTGTTTTGGCTTTTCAATCAGGCTAATTTCACAGTACAGCAGAACTGACACCATTAAGGGGGTGGCAACCTCAATTTCCTGCAGTGGTGACAAGTCAGAGTCAGCTTATCGTGTAACTGCACCCTGGTGTCCCCTTGACAGAGATGCTTCCGCTGCAGGAAAGCATCTTTGCTTCTCTTCCTTTGCAGCACAGAGAAGACCAGACTTTGTATTCTGTTTTGTTCCACGTGCCCAATGGAGAATAATATCTTTTTTCCTCTCAGGAAGTTGTTTGTGTAAGAGCAAGACCCTAGTTGAGGGAATTTGGAATGAAACTGGCTTTGTGCCAGCATATAGGAGCAATGTAAGGTTCACAGACTCTGTCCATTCAAGCTAGAGCCGCCTTTTCATCGACTTCAATGATCAAAACCTCTGGGCTGAAATGGAGACTGGGACAGCAAGAGCTGAGCGGTTATAAAATGAAAACATGCTGCTGCAGGGTAGGAGTTCTCCAAACACCTCACCAGAAAGAAGGCTATCTAACTTTTCACATGGCCAAATACAAACCACACCCTCATACTTCAACAAGCAATACAAGATATTTATAGACTGAGTGAAATGGAAGCTTGCGCTTCTGTGCAGCTGCTGCAGTAAACAAAGACTCACGGCCTTTGTAAAAGGAGAGAAAAATCCCGTTTCATCTCTTCATTAGCTGATGATGCATATCTATGCTGAAAAGATCTCCTCATTTTTTTTTTTAAATCTGTGCACAGATACTATTTCACTTCATTATCTGCTCTAATACCATACTGCTACGTCAAAGAGAAAATCCCCTTACTATGCCCTCAGCAGTACCAGTCGAGCTTACTTCCATTCAGAATGGGGAATAACCTACACTAGCATAAAAAAACCTTATACTGATAAAAACTTTCATGCTAGGAGTTGTATAGGTACAAACATCAGCAGTATGAATGCTCTGTCCCAAGGGCTAATCGTCTTGTAAGGGAACAGCTTACACCCCCTTGATTTCCTCACAAAGCTCAGAGCTGGCACCAATTACACCAAGGGACCTCTTCAACAGAGCTGGATGCAACCACTAACCCAGCACTGAGCTAGCTGGGGCTTGTTTTTCACCCAGCCTTTCTGCCATTACACCTATGACAATTAAAAATTAAAGGATTTGGGGATTTTTTTAAACAAATATATTGATACTGGTGCATTCGATGCCATTTTGCTGCTATAGTTTATTCTTCCTCACATAGGGGATACTCCACTGATACCAAGGAAAAAAATACATTTTCACCAGCAGAAGGAAGAACTGTGCCTTGCAGCACTGTGAAACAACTTCTGTATACTAAGAAATTTGTAATTCTCAGCTAGATTTATTTTTTCTATGTGAGATTTCTCGTTCTCCAGTTGCCTAGGCAATTTTCTGCAAACAGCTCTGGGCTATGTCAAGACTCATTTTTAATAAGAAATAGGTGGGAAAAACCCTTGAGAGCTTTATGAAAAGCAAAGAAACAACCGACTTGCTCTTTTGATGTTTTTTTTTGCCACCTTCTAGAAGGTGACATGTTCTGGACATAACATCCTGGTATCTCCACAGCTCTGGCTAATGAGTTTGCACAGTGGCACATGGTGAGCAGTTGATCTGTTTTATTGTTTGCAAAGTGCAGGAGGAAACCCATGTGTGGTTTTGCATTGTGTACCAGAAAACCTCCATCCTGACAAAACCTTTTGGTTTCTTGATGCTGTTGCTCACTCTCCTCTTCTACCTAATCTTACAATGCCTTATGAAATAGAACCTACACCAAGTGAAATAGGAGACCTTTAAATTGGTCAGAAAAATCCCTAATTACTATGAGTCTTATTTGTCAAGATTCTTCAACTAGTTGAACATGCATGCTCTGCTTATGATCTTGGCTGACCCAACGTGAGAATGTCAACACAACCTTTGGCCCAAGTCCAATCTCTTGCTTAATTTGCTGGTATCATAACTGCGATAATACGGTATCACAGATTTCACTCATGTTTGGCTTCAACACAGAGAAAACAGAAAGGGTGTGTGGCCACCAGCTCTAAGTAACTATACTGGGAGCTCTGAGATGAAAAATAAATAAATCCATCTGTAACTATTTCCTCTGTAAAGCCAGACATGGAAATGGTCTCAATCTCACCCTTAAAGACACCATAGGGGAGAGTGAAGGAACCGTAACAGAACTGTGTTTGAGAGAACAAAACCAGCAAATCAGCTCTGAGATGGTGGACAGGGGAGATACAAAAGGTAGGGAGACAATTAAGCACAAGCACAGACCAGGAAATTGCTCATTATTGCTACTGACAATAATGTTCAGAACCCTCCCCAGCTCCAATAAAAATTCCTGACTCAATACATTATGAAAAAAAAGAAGCAAAACACACTGCAGCCAATTGTATTGTGAACATGGTCCCAGGCTCACAATGACCCTGCTCTACTCCCTTAAATCCTGGGCTCTAGGGTAACAGAGGAACAGTCATGAAGGGAACTGGCTTCTTAATTAGGGTTAGTCACAGCTATTAGAATGGTTCTTCAGGACCTCGACTGTGCTTGTCTCAGGTCAAGCAAACATACCTTTCTACCAAGAACATATCTGCTTACAGTCACTGGAATGGCTTTTGTCAAGTCCCTAGATCACCCTGAGCTTCTCCAGCCCCGTTATAGACGAGTGCAGATAGTGCTGCATTACAATTTGCTCCAGCAGTCCCTGATGGTTGCAACTGTTTGCATTCTGATGGGGAGAAAAACGATTTACCTGTTTGAACATCTCATTTTTATTGCCCCCTTGCAGATGCAATAGGATATGAGAACTACTACAACAGAGAACCAAACAGAAGCAGCAGCAGCCCAAACCAGTCTTGTGGGATGATGAAGAGGTGAGTGGCAAACTTCAGTTCCCAGAGAAGGTATTTCTCTGTATGAACAGCAGTGTATGATGACAAGAAACAGGACCTGGAAAGTTATTGCTTCCTTCATTGTAACAAGAGGCAGCAATGTATCGATAAATATAACTTGACAGAAAAAGTAAACCTATTAAAACCAGAGTCAGAGTCATTTTGCAATGGCCTACTGGGAAGAGAGACAAGCAACAAGTTCATAAAGCAATTAGATGGGCAGCAATGGATAGCATCCACTTACTTCCTCTTTCCTAGTGGGTCATGGCACATAGCAACAAAACCACTTTGTTCAAGGGAGGGCAAAGGTGAATCTTGCTGGGAGTAAAGGCTGGGGAGAGCTGTCTTTTTTGGCAATACTTCCTGGCTTACTGCACTGTCCAGCTGAGAAGAGCAAAGAGCTGCTCTGTGTATGTAAAACAAGGAAAAAACTTTTAGTGGAATAACTGTGATGATTAAGGAGGTGATTTTTCTTTTTCTGATCCATTTATGCTGGTAAATGTTGTAACATGGATACAATTTTATCAGCTGAAGAGCATGGTAGATCTGTTGGTTTAAATATTTTATACAAAAAAGGCTAATTTATGGTGTAAGTGGTGTTATATTTAAGGCAGAAGAGCTTTCTATTTTGACAAGCCTTATTACATGATAAAGATAAGGAGTGGGCTGTGATCTCTGATTTAAAATGTGGTCCAAGCTTGTGTGCTGGTTTTAGCTTGTTGGTAAACTGATAAGGTTTATATACAATAATTTATTTTTCAGTTGGAAACCAGATCTTCTATAATAATGAATTCTAATGCTGCATCCTATGCAGTTACAGGAGACAACTGTACTGCCATTTAGAATACAACTGTGCTCTGCATAAGCAAGCAGCCTAGAAACTCACTCTCAGTTTTTCAGAAACTGTCGAGTTTGCTGAGATCCAGAAAATGTCCCAGAAACATTGAGCGTACACCAGCTAAAAAAATCAGACCCTTTAAATATGCCTTAAGCATGCAATACCATTTCTATCTATACTTGAGAATCCCAACCCATTTTCTCACTGTACTCAGTCTCCACTGCCCAGCTGTGATACAGAAAATAATGAGGGATAGATTTAAAAAAAAAAAACCAAAAACACCCAACCAAATACCAAAACCACTTAAATTCACAGTTTTTAGAAAGGTTCGTTATAAAAATGTTATATTTTTAATTGTATCAGAGTTTTCTGTAAACACAAAGAGATAATAATCTCTTATAAATAACTGGTAATTCCTATCATATTAATGTTGGGAAATAATTGGACTTTTGCACTGTGAGACTTTGGATCAACAAGAAAGTATTATCTCACGCATTTTATGCACAATTCAGAGATGGCTGATGGTTCAGTATTTTGCTACATTTAAAAAAATTTATTTTTAACTGAAGATAAATATATCCACAGCATAAATGAAAATAAATGTCCACAGGAAGATGTGGCATCTACCCAGTGCTGCAGCAGATGGAGGGAAGGTTGAGTGAGATAGCTGAGACGAAGGAATGCTCATACCCAGTCCTGTTCACTCATTTTGTGATTGGCTTCTCTTGGTTCTACAGATTCTCCGGACTACTGCATGGAAGCAGCAAAAACAACACGGAAAGCATCACTCCTTCAGCCCCTCCTCTTGGTATGCCCCTTCAGGAAATAAGTTTACCAGATGTGTTTGTTTAAGATCATTGCTAAATCAAGATTTGACATGGAGCAGAAACTGTACAGCACATATTCTCACATTGGCAGTCAGGAGTAAGAATAGTCAGGAAATTAATTTAGCTTGGATGTGTATTAAACAAATTTCCCAGTTTGAAGTGACAAATAATCCATATAATCCTCAAAACCTCTGTCGAGGCAAGGAGAAACTCTAAATTCAGAACACACTAGTCTGACTTAGATAATATTTTTCTCCTAAGGTAGAATACACTACCTCTACAAAACACAAGAGAATACCTGAAGTTTTTAACAGACCAAGCTCATGCCTTATGAATGCAAATATCCATCTTGTTTCGGAGTTCCACTGTCCCACTGTAACCTTTGCAGCTAGGCATTTAACAGACGACATTGGAAACAGTATTTTGACCACGCAGAAAGTAACGTCTTAAACCATTTTTATTGATATGATTTAAAACAAACCTACTTTAACTGTGATTCTTTCCTAAAAAAGAAAATAAAAAGCTGTATTAGAACAGTTTTAAAACATACTGCAATTAATTTTCTCTGTCAAGCCTGCCTGTTTGGGCACCAGGAAATGGAGCATTCCCTGGACAAGACCCTCAGGAATGGCAAACACTTTCTGCGTTCAGCTTTTTCATCTGCTCCCATGCTTGCCTTTCAGAATTTGGAACGTCAAGGAGCTGACAGTGCTCCTTAGAGCAGAATAACTAGGGACTGACTGAGGGAAGGTACAGGCACCCTGGCCGCTCCTATCATCCCACCGAGGAGTCCTGCGTGGGAAGCTTCTGCTTGCCTTGATAGCAGGGGAAGCTCCCAGGCAGATCCTGGGAAGGAGTAAGAGGTTTCCCTAATTATGACAAGCTGGATTAAAACAACATCTCCTAAAAAGAAGTTATGTCAATGACAAATAGCTATCTGGGAACTGTGTAAACTACTGGAAAATGTTCGGTGACCCACAGGCACAGTATTTTCCATTTTTCTCAAGGGAAAAAGAAAAGCCCTGTGTGAGTCACTGAACAGCTAGAATTTTATGCCACCAGTGGCAATCATTTTAAACGACTTTAATCACAGTATTTATCTCTTTGGACCATTTGGATTGTGCTTTAGCAGGCTAAGCATTTTTCCCAACCTGGATGAGGCTAAAGCTAGTTTCTGACCTCCCACAAACTTCAATAGGAGCATTGTCATCTGATCAATAGGACACAGTTTTTGTGCAAGACTTTACCTACAGTTCACAGCAGCTTTTCTATACACATACATCTCAGACAGAGGGAGAACAGCAACCCTTGTATTTGTGAACTCTTGCATATGATCCCATGCATTATAAGCAACGGAACTCTCTGTTTCTGTGGTGTGTTTCTCCCCCCGCAGAGAAAACAGACGGAGTCTATGCATCCATTTTTGCAAATGAACAAGCTGGAATCACAGCATCACAGGACTACAGAGTACTTTATGACTACACAGCCCAGGTAACAAATGGCTTCAAAATAATTATTTCAAAGCATCAGATTTAAAATAGATGATATTGATCCAAACATCTCGAAAGTGATAATTCTGTTAAGGTGCTACCTTCACTTTACAGCCAGGGCACTTAGCGGATGATTGGTCAAGGTCACATGCAGAAGCCAGGAATCCCAACTGCCAGTTCTTGATGCACATCACCAGACCATGCTGCCTCAAGATGAAACAATAAGATTCTTTGCAAGTGCAATCACTCCTAAATTAGTGCTGAGCTGTCACAACCTCCTCCTAGAGATACAGGAGACTGCAAACACAAGGAAAACTTTTATCTTTTAGGGGATGATGACTAAGTATGCGGCCTTGTGCATTCTGAACTTACATCTTTGTGAAATGTTTTCCTAGGGAAAATGGCTACAGATTCCTTCTGAATACGTGTAAGAATATGTGACAGATGCTTATCTAGGAACTCTTCTCCATCTCTCTATCATCATCTGGAGAACCCTGCTCCCCTTTAACACATTGGGTCTCCATGCTGGAGAGGACTGAATCCCCACAAAGGTCACTCTTACACTTCCGTGTTGCAAGTTGCAGAATCACAGTGGACATTGTCCACGTACCAAAAGATTGTTATAAAGAGCAACCTGCATCCTTAACTGGGCTACTGAACTCTCACTGGCCTGTCCATGTCCCTCTGGATGCCATCCCTTCTCTCCAGCATGTTGACCACACCGCACAGCTTGGTGTCATTGGCAAATTTGCTGAGCGTGCACTCAATTCCACCGTCCATGTCGCTGACAAGGATGTTGAACAGCACCGGTCCCAACACTGATCCCTGAGGAATGGCACTTGTCACTGGTGTCCACTCAGACATCGAGCCATTGACCACCACTCTCTAGCACGACCGTCAAGCCAATTCCTTATCTACTGAGCAGTCCATCCGTCAAATCCATGTCTCTCCAATTTAGAGACAAGACTGTCGTGTGGGATAGTGTCAAAGGCATTGCACAAGTCCAGGTAGATGACATCAGTTGCCTGTCCTCTATCCACCAAGGTTGTGACCTCATCACAGAAAGCCACCATATTCGTCAGGCATGATCTGCCCTTGGTGAAGCCACGTTGGCTGTCACCAACCACCTCCTCATTTTCCATGTGCCTTAGCATTGTTTCTGGGAGGATCTGCTCTACGATCTTGCCAGGCACAGAGGTGAGACTGACTGGCCTCTAGTTCCCTGGATCCCTGGTCAGTTTAAAGGTTCCTTAGCTTTAGATTAGCAGAAGGAGCAGCATCCAGGAGGTCTTATGTTAAAGTGCAGATACTCTTGCTCCGAGGGACCTGCCATCAATAGCCAACATTGAAGACAAGCTGGCACATGACAAAATAGATTGCCAGATAAATTATGAAAACAGAAAGGGTTGGAAAAGAGTGCTTGTTAGGCACAAGCAGCATTCTGACATATTGTATTCTATTCTAGCTTTTGTTTTGCTTTGTTTGAAATACTTTTCTAATTTGCCTGAAATTTCATCCAAGGACAGCTCCAAGTGCCTCACTGATAATGGCAGTTCCCCTGAGGAGACTGCTGGATCTCTTTATCAGGTCCTTACGCCAGGAGTTGCCTTAAAAACATGACACACACGAATCTTCCCTACTGAGAAAAGGGCCTGTTACTACTTTTAGTATATTGAGGCCTCTTACTTTTTGAGTCCGTTCTTGCCCACTCAGGTACATTAAATTTCGATTTAGCTGATGCGTCAAACATATCTTGAAGCATCTCTTACCCTGTTTTCTATTTTACTACACTGTGGGTAGCAAAGTGGTTTCTTATGGAAAATAGGACAACGCCACTGAATGGACTGATAACTGCTTGAGAGCTCAGCGATAGCTTACTTGCAACTACTCCACCTGTCTCAGAGATAAAAGTTACCTATCTCAGGAAGAGTCTCATACCTCAGCTGGTCACCCATGTTTCATATTAAAAGAACAGAGACACCTATTTAAGGCCTGGATTAGTAGAGGCACTGTTGTAATCTCCCTTGGGAATTAAGATGTGCACTGTTTTATTTAGCAACACCTGCAGACTATGGAAGGCTCATGGTTAGCTGGTTTAGGACAGTTGTATTTAAACCTTTCCAGCCTTCCACAGTGATTCAAAGTTGCTCAGGAGTAGACACCATGGAGGCTGCAGAAACTTGAGAATCTTAAAGAAATAGCCAGCTCTGTAAGTGCTTAATCCCTCACTGTCTGGTATTTCAGGCTCATTCCCAACCAGACTGTTGATGAAAGGCAGGATAAAAAAACCCACACCAGAAACACTCTTGGGCCCTCCTGCACTCTCAGGCTAACCACATTTCCTTTCCGTGTTTCCTTGCAGAACATGGATGAACTGGACATCAGTGAAGGAGACATTGTAGTTGTCATTGAAGAAAATGAGGATGGCTGGTGGACAGCAGAAAGGAATGGGCAGCGAGGCTTTGTGCCGGGGTCTTATCTCAAAAAGCTTTGATGAAAAGAAGCCCCAGTGCTCAGACTTCAAAATATTGTTACTTACAAACTGCACACAAGGTCTGTCTGCTTCAGCTGACCAAGGGCAACCCATAATACTATCTTCTGCAATTACCAGTCAGGAAATAACCAACTGACCATGACTTCCTCTTCCTTCCTCCTACCCCATCCCAGCATCCCCTGGTCTACACTCCGTAAAAACTGTCTTCACCTCAGCAAGATGACAACTAGTGTTTCTTACTACAGTTCTTCCTCCCCTCAGCATACTGTGCTGCCATCAGTGTCACAAAGCCTGCGAATCTGGGAGGAAAATCCTGCCCTTCACTGCACTAAAGGGAGAAGATCAAGAAAGCAAATGCTGTTTCTCCAGGCTGGAGGATCGCCTCCAGCCAGCCTGTGAGCCACCCTCATGGTCACAGCAGCCGTGTTCTCTGCCATGGATCTCTTCCTCTCACTGCACAGGACATGCAAGCATTTTTGTCCATGGGATGGAAAGCACGCAGCTTTGATGTCTCAGGGTCTTAGCTGTACAAAGCAAAGAAGCTCTCAAGTTCCTTTGAACAGCTCCCTTCCCAGTTCCCCTTACAGCACATGGGTAACCAGGGAGAAGGGTGAAGAACCCTCCAGATGAAAATACAAAAAAACAATGAATGCAGCTAGAGAGGAACACCTGAAGGACCGACACACATCAGTAGTAAGCAAATGTAAGGCACTGCCCGTCATGACCATCTCCTAATACAATGAAATCCATGCTATCCCTGGCTCTGCTTTGCACTGGATTCAGGGCCACCAAAACATGGACAGATGATGAGCCCAAGGCTTGCTTTTGCCTTGGTTAGATGGTTTCCATGACATTTTAACATGCTGCTTCTTCAACAAACCCTTTCCAGAGAAGTTGCAACGTGCAGGTTCATTGTATTTCACAGATTTCAGCTCTCTCAGTCTTTCTAGTTTAGTATTTAAGAACATTTCCAACTGCCACTGTATATACCATGGGATCAGTAGGTACTTTCTGCCACTCTTCCCTTTTCAGTATTTCAAGATGGTTATTAAAAAAATAAAAATAGATTATTTAATCTGAAGCAGAGAGCACTATTTCTGGGGATAGAATGTCCTTGTTTGCCAAGGTTTCAGGTCTTAAAACTGAATCAAGTCAGTGAAAATGAATCAAATTCCTACCCAAAAGGCATGGTGTAAGGAGCAACTGTTAGCTAAGACACAGCATGAAAGACAAAGAGACATCTAGACAGAAAAGAAAAAAAAGCCATAATGGTCCATGCAATTATTCCTTAAATGAAACAGAATTAAGAGAAATTAGAGAATTACTCTAATTTCTTGCTTCAAGAATGAAACAAAAGTTGCTGCAGGCCCTTTTTCTTTAGTTCCTGAAGTCCTTTGCACAGGCATACTTGTCCTTCCCACACTTCTCCACATTATCATACAGCACATCATCAGTGCTGAAGGGCTCTTAGTACCTCACATTAGCACAGGCTCAGAGGAACTTGAATGGCATTTAAGGCACCAGGTTATATGAAGAGTAGTGCTCGTTCACGCCAAAGATGTTAATGACAGGTTTGTGACCACATCTGAATCTAACAGTGATAGCAAGATGGTCCACAACAGCCTTCAGCAAGGCCAGTGCACTATAAATGGTAGCTGTCAGAGACAACTACAACATCACTCATATGTACAGCACGAGAGGAAACCTGAGTATGAGAGATTTAACGTACTTGTTTCTTGAACACTGTCTTCCATGAAGAGAACTGTAATAACCCAATAAATAAACAAATTTAAGTAGCTATTTTGCAGATTATCTTAATTAAAAAGGAAAAAAAAAAGCCATTGAGATCCATCTCCTCTAATTATGTTTGACATGGTCTTTGCTACGACTCCGACTGCTCACTTCTCTGAGGGCCCAGACAGCCTCACATAAGACGCTGCGGTATCCAGTCCTGGTTACCCTGAAATCCTGTTACAGATCCCCATTGCTTACATGTACCAAATAGTCTCCATCACTGACAGACAGCTAGTGGAATGGTGACTGCTCTTTCTACCCCATCAAATCGTTTCATATTTTTTCTGCTAAACTCAGGAAACGGGTTTCTTTTCTACCTGACTCTTCTTCTGTCAAGTAAATACTGTTGTGAGTGCAAAAGGCTATAGATATTCCAAAATCTACCCAGTATCATAGCATTTGGGTCCCACATGCTAACTCCAGACTGTTCAGGAAATGAAAAAGCAGCATCAGTGTTTTCTCGTGATTCCTCTGTTTAACGTTGAACGTTTCTCTGATAAGTAAGTAGCCACCAAGCCACATCTAGGCAGTTTGCCCTATCAGTGTGGCAGCACTTGTCAGAAATAGAACAGAGATACCAAGAAATGCCCACACCCTCAGAGTACACCCACATTTTAGGTGTCATCCACCACCCCCGGTCAGTAGGAAAAGCAGGAAGGTCAAATGTAGGTTACTGCCCAAATAACAATGTTTCCCTTCCATTTTGGTAACACTTGGGCAACAAAACTGAGGTATTCTAGTCATCATTTAATGTTCAGGTAAGATGGAAAACTGGAACGGGCCCTTTCCAGTGGGAGGCATTCTTAAACTGAACTCCAGCATTTTTGGTTGAAATTCTTTTTGGACAAACACTTCTGATAAGCCTCCACTTGTGTTTTGACTACCATTTTTTTGGCAAGGGGGTGCAAAGCAACATGTAGGGACAGAACAACAGTGGCAAAGAAAGTTGTGTGTTTCATACAACCACAGCAGGGTTTGGACTGGAAGAGACCTTAAAGATCTTCTGGTTCCAACCCCCTGCCATGGGCAGGGACACCTTCCACTAGAAGGTTTGTCAAGTTAACTTCTACTTCACAGAACGCTCCTAATAAGCTGACTACCTCCTCACTGACACTGCTAGTGCTCTGTCTCTGGGGTGCTTCACACAGAAGAAGCTGTTCCCAGAAAGCAAGGAACACGCTTATGTCAGCTGCTCTGCCTGTGGCTAGTGTGTATACAAACTAAAGAAAAGTCACAATAAAGTTACCGAGTTGCTTGTCTGACCATACTGTAGGACTTCAGTGTGCAGAACAGACGAGTATTTCATGCTGAACAATTTCAGATCTGTAACTGTTAACTCTTGAAATTTTGAGTAGGTCATAAGAAACAGGTATCATGGCCATGTTCCTCAAAAAGTGTACTGGTAATTTGTTCTATTTTTCCTTTAACCGCAACAAGAATTCAAAGGTTGGAAGTAGGCAATCCAGCCCAACAGTACCTTTCAACCAGACTCAGATACGCACATCATTCTCATTATTAATTAAGGAGAAGAACAGGAAAACCTGTTTAAAAATAACATTTAACCAACAACTGTATGTCATTAGGAAATGTCTACAAGAGGAGTGAGGCCCATCGCTGCACAGAACAGATTTCAGCTGCTGCACAGGGCGTTAAGAGCCCACATGTTAGTAGTAAAACTTGGTCAAAGTAGCATCAGACTAGAAACAGTGATGACCAGGCAACACAGCTCTAGGACAGCCGACACAGCCAGCACATATCCACAAAGAAAATACCACCTGCCAAGCTCACAGGTCCATTGCTACAAACAGCTAGCTTCCAGCATTTTTTACAGCTAGTCAGCTGAAAGGAAGAAACCAACCCCTTCACAGCTGAGCAGTCAGCAACAGCAGGAGCACAGTGGTTTTGAACAAGGTTTGAAGAGTTTGCCACCTCCTTGAGGACTGTGGCATGAACTCTGTATTACAAATAACCGTAGTCTACTTCAGCCAAAGTGTTAACATATCATAGACGTAAGACATAAAACAGTAGCAACTGTTACCTTAGATTTCTGCTCATCCTGCTTCTTCAAAAGAGACATTCAAGGTCCAAGTCTCCTCTCCAGAGATAATTTTGAGGCAAAGACTTCTGACTGCAGCTCAGACCTCACTGATGACTGAATGCAGGGTAAATGGAAGCACACAGATGCCAAGAGGAGATTCGTTACAAGCCAGGCATCAGGTGGTATCTAACGGGAGCCTGGTTGGGCATTAAGAAACATCTAACCTAAGCACTGGTGGATAACTAATACACATTTTTCTCATCCCAGGGCATTCCACATCAGTACTATACACAGTTTGTTGCACTGAAAGCTCACTGTTAACCTTCAGTGTGACTGGCAACAACACAGCACAGTACAGGACCAACTGTGAAGGCCTGAAAAAGCAGCCTCTACTGCTCAATACCATCTCTCTTCCCTTGCTTTGCTGTTCTGCAGCTTGCAGGGCTAGGGCAATGAAAACAAGGGCAGTTACCAGCCACATTGCTACTTCACACGTCCTCAAACAGAAACTACGCTCATTGTTAGTGAGCAAGGAGAGCAGCAAGGTGCCCTTAGCTTGGCCTTCACCCCGAGATCCATGTCTCCTTGCTGCCACAGCATCACGGGCACAACCAAGTGGCCAAACCCCTTAGAGTAAAGCACAGTTGGCTGTTGCAAAACAAAACTAAAACCAGCATTAGTCAGTCACTTCCATTCACCAGCTTCCTAAATTAATGACAGTATCCATCAAAGGTGTTTTTATAGTGCAGCTGTGATGTCTTGGGCGTGCTCACTGTAGCTGAGGCTAAAGGAGAGAGATTAGCTCCGGTTTTCCCCCCAGGAAGAGGAAGGAGATAAAAGTTGTGATGCTAGGTCACAGCAGGCTTCTGGAAAGTACATGGCTGCTAGGGGCCTGCAGGAGTTGATGGACTGTTTTTCGTAGGGGAAAGGATACTTGTATAGAATAACTAGGTTTTGGAAGGAGAACAGGAATTAGTGTCCTGTCTGTGACTAGGTTATTAACAAAATGGCAATGCCCCATCCACCGCGAAAAAGCGGGGAGAGCAAAGAACTTTGAGTCAAACTGTTAGTCATTATCTCTTCTATGTTAGCAATCACCTAATTCCAGCAGTCAGCTCACATTTTGGATGTGGGAAGGTCAGAGCCACAGTTAGCTCCAGATCTGTGC